GACCTGCTTCTTTGCACTTTAAAACAAAAATGCTAATTCTAGTGTTGCAAACCACTTTGGGTTCTCTAGATGGTCAAGCTTGAGTATTTCTGTGCACCCTCAGTCCCTTACTCCTTAATATGGCATTTCCATTGCCTTATAATTCCTGCCTCATACCATGTCATTGCCTGATTCCTACCTAGCTTTCTAAAGTGAGTCTATCAATGGGATGTTCTGATAACTGGTACTATGGCACTCTGCTAATTCCTATCCAACAGATATGAAGTGCACAAATTCCTTTTCTGCTTGTCACTTTATGCAACTATACCACACACCACCTGAGGGTCTTATATCTTGTATATTTGAATTCCAAGCACTTTGTCACAGTAAATGCACAAAAAAATGTTTGCCAACTGCATGCCATAAACTTCAGACACTAAAATATTAAAAATTTCATGTATGAAATTTCAAACTTAAATTTGAAAATATGAATATTGATGTTAGGACAAAGTTTCCCTTTTAGAGTCTTTCTGTTTGACTAACTGGATTCTAAACTGGATATCAGAGCTCTTGGAACATGAGGCAACAACAAAAGCCAGGGACACTTAATACAGGAACTTTTCTCTACCTACTGGACTTCCAGAATACATCTCTGTGTTCTATAGATCAAACAAAGCTCCCAAATACATAGCAATTCTGGATGTTGAGAAACATTAAAAAAGGAATGTCCAAAAGAATATAATTTCAACAAAACACAGAAGTCAAGGGGAAGAGAAAGGGACTAATAGCCAATAGTAGCTAGTGATATCTAACATTATGATGATAAGATGGAGACAAAATATTCTTTATGCTCATTTATGATATGAAAATACTACAGTTTATATAGCATAAGAATGAGAGATTAAATAGAATATCAAGCATAACAGACAGAAGAAGCAATTTAAAATCATGACTACACAAGGTATTTGTGACTAAATTATTAAAGACATCTTATTCAGCTTTACATGGTTTCCTTTCTTTTGGTAATTTAGCTCAATGTCAGTATTTCCCTTCAAATTACTGAAATTAACTTAAAAACACTTTGGAAGATATTAAACAGTTAAAAGCATACACTACTTATAATTCTTACTAATTCCACACTTAAATGTATGACTTGTAAAGTTGTTAGTACGTATTATATTAGAAACAAAAAGTTGTCGCCCACATCTTTCTCTAGCTGGGCCCAGTTTTACCTTAGAAATTGTATTATTTTAGGAAGTCAACTGAGTGGTCCTCCCAATTATGCAACAGTGTGACGAAAAATCACGCTTCTGTGAATGGGGACAGAGATACTTGACCTTCAGTGTTCTGACTGAAGCTTCCCTGACCACTAGTCCCTTTCTGTGTAGAAATGATTTTAGAAACAGGACAAGGAGCCTGCTGGGAAGAAAAGGACGAGAGTTCAGAGGTCAACATCAAGAGCCTGCAGAGACTCTAAATTCCAAAGCCACTTGCAGCACCAGGGGCCAGGAGCATTGGAACATGGAAACTTGTGTGCAGCATATTTTGAGCTCATCAACTTACGTTTGTGTATTCTTTAGAATGACAAAACCTCCAAACTAATAGAATTCTGGAAGTTGTGAGGGTCCCAAACAGTTGATATTAGACTTCTTGGCAAAAAGGAGAGAACTCATGCCATTAATTGGACAAGTACAATATTCAACTGTATTTGTACCACCAAACTTGTGAAGCAGTTCATGCAGCTTATGCTGAAGAAGAAAAATAGCATTTGTAAAACTCATTTCCCGATATGAAATATTTTTACTACAAAGACATCTGTCTCTGTATAACAAAGTTATAAATCATCTGGGGAAAATTATTTCCTGTAACTCTACCTTGTATGGATGCTAAAGCATCAATCACTTTTCTTGTACAAATGCTATTTTGGTTCCAATATTAATAAATATAAACCTATTTCCTCTGTTGACCTCTCAGTCATATTAAAACAACTGCTGCCTTAGTAATGCTTTTCTCAGGCAGCACGTACATCCTAGCCAAGCTAGATTAATTTTATCTGCTTTCCTGTTTCTCTTTAACACAGTACAATAA